TAGGTACGGGCATAGGGCAGTGCTTTTCACTGAGAAGCACTCAGACACTTAAGGCCTTGTTGCTAGGGTTCCTGCACCCTTAGCAACCAGCAGGCCCTTTCTCAGGAGGGGAGGGCTGAGTCGGCTTTGCGCAGTGGTAACTTGAAACGCGGTTGCCTGAAGAGGGGGATATCTCGTGCCTCAGCTGTTGCTAGGGGCTGGTTCTCCTTAGTGACCAGGGCCCCACAGGGTAGACCCTTGGGTATCCTTTACGGCCACAATCCCTAGGGGTCTTTTTAAATGTCCCCTGGGTCTTGAAGGCACAGCAAGCCCGGCCACTCTTCCCTTCCTTCCTCCATGGGGCGTGGGCTCGTCTGGACCTTAGCGCTCTCTCCCCCACCCCCAGGACGAGAAGTATTGGAGCCGGCGGTACAAGAACAACGAGGCGGCCAAGCGGTCCCGCGATGCCCGGCGGCTCAAAGAGAACCAGATCTCGGTGCGGGCGGCCTTCCTGGAGAAGGAGAACGCCCTTTTGCGGCAGGAGGTGGTGGCTGTACGCCAGGAGCTGTCCCACTACCGCGCCGTGCTGTCTCGCTACCAGGCCCAGCACGGGGCCCTGTGAGGCCACCGCCCCCCACCCGGCGGCGCTCTCCTCCGCCTGGCTCAGACTTGCGCCCTGACGCCCTCCTTCCTCCCCCCCCCCGTGGCCCACGGGCCGGCCAGCTGGGTGCCCCAGGGACGTGACAATGTAGATAAATACATTTATATTTTTAAGAAAAAGCGAGCCTCCCCCCTCCCTCGTGGGGGCGGGGAGGGTGCTGTGTGTGCGCCCCCGGCCCGCCGGGGACCCCAGCCTCCCACTGCCTCCGTTAACACGATCCTGAATAAATCTTGAGAACTCCGGACCAGCTGTTGTGGAGGCAGCTCCCTGGCCCCGGTGCAAGGCCAGTGGGTCAGTAGCCGCAGGCCGTGGGCAGTGCGCCACAAAAGACAGGAACGGCTCCATAGGCTCGAACCTTCCCACGGGCTGCCAGACGGAGGAAGGGGCGAGGGTTTGAGAGGATTGAAGCGATCGCCTTTATTGCATAGACCTTTTCAATTCAATTGCTTTGAAGACTGGGGACACACGAGAGACGACACTGAAGACAGGGGGAGAGAACTTCCCCGCCCCACCTGCGAGGGAAGGAATATTAGTGCAAATAGGAACGCGGGCCCCGGGGAACCTGCCCCTCCTGGGCTGATTGGCCGGTTAAGTGAAGGCGCCGGTCCTGACTAGCCAATTAAGGCCTCCCCCCAGCCCGTATATTCCGGGTCCCGTCATTGGACGAAGACTTAGCTAGGCTCCACCCTCAGCTGACCTGGCCGCCTACGAGCGGGAAGCGGGGGAAGACCGGGAAGCCTGGATTGAGCCACGCCCCCTAGGCGCGATTGGAGCGCAGACGCCAGGCCTCGCCCTCGTTGCTCAGGCACTACTCTCGGGACGCACCCGTTTTATCTGCAACCTTCAAGGCCGCCTCAGCATTCAGGCCACCTTCCAGCTTCGTGTCTGGTCCTCTGGGAGCGGGTGCAATCCTGAGACAAGGCCAGGCCCCGGCACTTGGGGCCTCCGCCATTAACTCCAGCAGCTAGACCACGCCCCCAGTTCAGGCTCCACCCATTGGAATGTATGCCCCGCCATAGGCGGGCTCTCTGCGGGCTCAGGGCACCCGGCCAGGCGGCCCAGTGAGGAGCGTACCAAGGCCCGGGTGCACCTGTGCCTGCATCGGGCCGTACTCTACCTGCTCGCCATCCACCGTGAGCACGCCGCGAGGCGTGAGCGGCTCAAGGCGGAAAGCATGGGCTGTGGCATAGCCCAGCTGGGGACACCCCAGGCCGAAGTGGGTACCATGCTCCATAGCCAAGAAAAGGCGCAACAGGGTGGCCCTCGAGATGCCGCCCCGCACCCAGCACAGGTGCACCAGGCCGTCGTCAAAGCGAGCATGAGGGACTGCCACCAGGTCAGCACCCAGGTGGCTGGGTGAAAGAGCCAACATGAGCACAAAGTCTTCCTCCATGGTCACCCAGCCCGGGGGCAGCGGGGCACCCAGAGGAGGCAGCAGGTGGTCAGGTGGGCCACAGGTGGAGGCAGAGGCCGGGATGTCACCGGGAGAAGGCGGGAGCCCACAGTGTGCTGGCCTCTCTGGGGGCCCCGTGGGGAGGGGAGAGGGGACGGCTGCTTGCGGGGAGCTGGGGAGCGGGGGCAGCAGTGGGTCTGGGGACAGCGGGGCATCTCCAGCCCCACCCCAATCCCCGGCCAACTCTGGGCCGCCGCCGTTGAGTGACAGAAAGGGCAGAGGTTCGGGTGAACCAGGGGAGGCCAGGGTGGGCTGGGGGAGGGGCAGGGGCAGGTCGGACACTGAGCGGTGCAGAGGCGAGTGGGTCACGGGCGGGGCTGGCTCTGGGGCCAGGGTCAGCTCCGACTTGGCCCGGGGCAGGCCGTGGGCGGGCGGGGGCGAGGCGGGTTCCCCGGTGGCCGGGAGGTAGGAGAGCCGCCCTCGGTAGGTGTGCAGCGTGGCGAGGCCCAGCACTGTGCCCAGAGTGAAGCGGGCGCTGCCCAGGGCCCTGAAGCGCTCACTCTGGATGTCCACGTCGGACACGAAGCCCCAGGCCACGGACAGGAAGGAGAAACAGCGGGAGCCGGAAGCCAGCGTCACAGAGAGCAGGTCCAGTGGGTGGCTGCCACCCCGGCAGAGCAGCAGCGAGCAGTTAAGCAGAAGGTCGAGGCCCAGGGCTGGTGCAAACCTTCGGGCCCGAGGGTGACACGCGGGGGGGGTGGAGAGCAAACGGGGGTGAGTCAGAGCCACGGAGTGCAGGCCGAGCGGGCGGAAGCGGGGCAGGGAGCAGAGGGCCAGACACCAGGGCGGGTCCCTGCAGGTGGACCGGTCTTACAGGCCAAGTTCCTGGTTATTCCTTCATTCAGTAAGCATCCACTGAGTGCCTACTGTGTGCCAGGCATTAGGGATACAGCTGGGAGGAAAAGAGACCCAGTACAGGGACGGGGGGCTCCGAACAGGCCGAGGGAAGAAGTGGGGGCAGGTGCCGTTGGATGCCTTCAATTCCGTTCTGACCCAGCGACCCCACGGGACAGAGTAGAACTGCCTCGGGAGGTTTTCTGGGAGCCGGAACCGCTGGGTGAATTCAAGCAGACAGGCTTGGTTAACTGTCACCCCACTAGGGCGGCTGTCCTGGTCCTTACTCCCCAGGGTGGGGCCGTCCCTCCCCATGTGCTCAGCTTCGAGATGCAGCAGGTACCCCGGCTCAGGGGCCTGACCTACCCCCCGTGCAGGTTCACGGCGCCCGCCAGCGCGTTGCCCGAGCCGCAGGGGAGGATGCCCACGGGCATCCTCACTGCCTCCTCCCAGTCGGGGCGATCGAGGAGCCCGTTCAGCACCTGCAGAGTGGGAGACCAGCCGCCTGGGTCCTGGGCCCAGCCGTCAGGGTCTCTGAGGGGACGGGCAAGCGACAGGGTGCCTCTGCCCTACCTCATAGAGCAGCCCGTCTCCCGAGACCGTGATGATGCCGTCCCACTCGCTCAGGCTCAGCGCCTGGACCAGCTCCCGGGCGTGGTTTGGCCGCTCTGATGGGGGAAGCCGGCAGGTGAGGCTCTTCCACCCCCACCCACCTCGCTGCTCCACCAGGTCTCTGCAGTCCTGCCACCCCCACTGTTTCTCCAACACCCATGGGCCCCCCCACTGTTGCTCTAATACCCACGAGACCCCATCACTGCTCCCCCAGAATCCATTCCCCCCACTTCGTCAAGCCTCAGGACTCTCCCTGACTACTCTCTGAGGACTCAGATGACCTCTCCGCTGCTGCCCCCGAATTCAGTGTCCCCCCCTACTGCTCCTCAAATACCTAGGAGATCTCCTAGGACCAAGGAGCCCCCTACAGCCCCCCCCCCCATTACTCCTCCAGGACCCAGAACACCACCTACTGCTTCCCCAGGACCCAGGAGGCCTGTTCCCCTTACTTCTTTCCTAGGGCCCAGGAGTCCCACCCCTGCCTCCGGCCCTTCCTCCTTCAGACCCAGGCTGTGCCCTTCCCCTGTCCTGCCTGCCACAGCCCTTACCTGTCTGCATGAGGTTGAAGGACAGCCCAGCTTCTGAGATCATAGGCAACACGTGGTTCTTACACCACTGCCAGGCCAGGCCCCGCCCCCCAAAGGGGTTGACCAATAAAAGCAAACGGGGCGGACGGGGCAGCAGGTCAGGGGTGATATCTGCAGAGAGAAGGGGGTGTGTAGAGGCCAGAAGTGGAAGACTGGCACCCACAGCCTTCTGGAAGTTGTAGTTTTTCCCTCCCGGCCTGAGCTCACGTGGCCAGGCTCAGGTGTGCAGCCCTACCGACCTGGCCCAGGTGCTGGAACAAAGGGAAGGCTCAGGTGTCCAATCCCTGGGCCCTTAAGCTCCTTCCTTACCGCGATGCCAGGCCCCCAGGAGCAGGTTTCCGCACTATGCCAGGCCCCCCTCCCTGTCTCCATCCCTTGAGGCTCTGGGGGGACGGGGGTTGGCCTTGCTGACTCACTGAGGACCCCAGGCAGGAGCAGGGGCCACCTCCAGGCCCACTACAGTACCAGCCACCCTGGGTGGGGCTGCCCTGACCCTTCTAGCGGCCTCTGACTCATTTGTGCTTGAGACCATGGATGGAGGGAGGGGCCGCAAGTCAGCTCTCCACCAACATGCTCACCGGAGCCCACCCCACGTGTGCAGAGTGGAACAGCTTCCAAGGCTTTCAAGGCTGTGACCTTACGGAACCAGGTCACCAGGCCCATCCTCCCAGGAACCTCTAGATGGGTTTGAACCCCCAACCTTTCAGCTAGTAGGACCAGCCGGGGCCTCCCCTTTGTTTCCTCGGTGGTTTCTCTGTGTCACTTATTCAGCAGGGACCCGGCGAGAGACTCCCACAGACAGGAACAGAAAAAGACAATGCTGGGAGAGAGCGGGGGCCCCGTCTCACCGCCATCCCCAGGCAGTGGCAGCCCACGGAGCAGGCATGTGAGCGTGACCGCCCAGCGATGGGCCTCGGTGCGGTTCTCCTCGTAGGTGGCTGCCCCGTCGGCCCGGAAGGTGCGCGTGGCTCTGCGCCGGGCCCCGCGCCGGCCCTGCGGGTAGGTGTAGACGCAGAAGTAGGCTGCAGAGTCCAGTGGGCTGCGGCTGCGTAGGGTGCAGCAGCCTGAGACCTCGGCCAGCGGGACCAGGCCGCCCCGGGGCCGGGCTTCAGGCTTGGGACGCAGTCGCTGGATGTACAGGGCCTGCGGCGTGAGCGTGAGGGCGAAGCGGGGGCCACGGGCCGGGTAGGAGCCGAACTCCCCGTGCAGGAGTGGGGTGCTGGCGGCCAGTTGTGGTAATGGCGGGGCCATGGCTTTGACCCTGTCCAAGGGACTCCCAGGCCCAGGGCCCTGGCTCCGGGTCAGCTCTGGGTCTGGCCTCTGTGGGGAGGGAAGAGGGCAGGGTCAGAGTCGAGGAGCCCCCAGGGTGTGAGGAGGGAAGGAGAAAGGGAGAGACGGGGCCTGTGGACAGGAGACAACGAGGGCACTGACAGGTGAGACAGCACCAGAGACGGACAGACCCAGACAGGTGTGGGGAGACCCTGAGGACACAAGGCCCAGAGACCCAGGCATGCAAGCAGTCATTCACTTATGCCCCAGATAACCACTCAGTACCCTCAACGTGCCAGTCACGATGCCAGGCCTGGCAGACACAGGAGGAAACCACAGACAAAAATTCCTGCTCTCGTGGAGTTTCTGTTCTATGCGGATGGCAGGACAACAAGATCAAGAAGGGAGACCTACGGCGTGTTGGATGAGGGTGAAGGTTTTGGGGGACAATAAGGCACGGGTAGGGGATTGGGAGTGGGGGGACGCACAGAAAAACACATGCTGTGTCAGAAACACACTCACACACCCAGAGGTGGAGAGTAACGAGCAGGAGAGAAACTCGGACACAGAAGAGGAAGCTCTGAGAGCCACAGAGACAAGGAGAGGGCAACGTGCGTCCATGAGGCGAGCCGCGAAGGCTGGCACAAACACAGGGAGGACTTAAGAGTTCAGGGACTCCCGGAGGCCCTCCAAGGGTCAGGAAGACATCAGGGAAGAGTTAGAAGAAAGAGACAAGAAAGGGGAGGCGAGAGGCAGGCGGCGTGGACAAGGAGAAACGGAGAAGGGCTGCAACACTGAGGGATTTGGCCCAGACAGTGCTAAGGGCTACATGCAGGCACCTTTGAGGGGCAGGGGCCGAGAGAGTTGGCCCCTGGGCACTGACCTGGGTGTGTGGCCGCCTGCTCTCCAGGGAGGGGGTGGCAGCTGGGACTGAGGTCCCCTCCCCACAAGCCCTGCCCTGCCCTCTGCCCCGACCTCCTCCTCCCAGCTCACCTTTGTTCCCCACTGCCCCGCCCAGCCACCCCCTGGGCGAGCCGCACCTTCTCGCACCTTCTCGGGGCCCAAAGCTGCCCCAGACACACCCCCATCCGAGGACATAACCTCAGGGACAGCTGCACAAGCCCAGGGTGCCTGCCACCGCCCCCGACTGCACCCACCCCCTTCTGGGAGCCTTGAGACAGGCTCCGGCGCAAACCCTAGATGTAGTTCCGGGCCTGGGTCTCTGTTCTCAGAGTACCCCACTCTCTGGCCTGATCCTCATTCCCCCCCTTCTTCCTCAGCTACCCCATATGTGGGTCTGGGTCTTCATCCGTAGGTTCCTCGGCCCACAAGCCTGGGTCTCCGTCCCTGGGTCTCCATCCCCATCCCCCGCCCCTCTGCCCCCCCCCCCCAGATCCCTCAGCCCGGTCCTGTAACTCCATCTCCATCCCCCATCCCCGGTACCCCAGTCCCGGGTCTGCGTCTCCGTTCCTCTGGGTCCCTCAGTAACCCCGACTCGGGCCCGTGCCCCGACCCCCGCACCCTCTTCACATGCCAGGTCCTCCTCCAGGCGGCCCCCTCAAGTCAGCACCAACCACCCCCATCAGACCTAGGGGTGGGGGGGAGGGTGTGCTCGGCTCAGCCAATCGCCCAGCGGCCGGCCTAAGTCGAGCCAATGAGGGCGCGCGGGGGCGGGGCCAACTGACTCGCGAGTTTGGCGCAGGGGCTGGCCGCGGGAGAGCAGGAGAACCGGGTGGGGCGCCGCGCATGGCGAGACCAGCCGCCATCGTAGGTGAGGGCAAATGCGCTGTAGAGAGGGCGTCACAGAGCCTTAGCCACTCCCAATGCCGCCATCTTTGTCGAGGGCACGTATGGCTGTGAGCTTTTACGAAAAGGGGCATGGGGGAGGAACCCGTCAGGGATATGGTAACAAAAGTACACACACATGCAATGGCGTAGTAAAACAGAGATGCAGGGAGGCATGAACCCAGAGAAGCAGAAAAAAACAGACGAGAAACATCTCCAGTTCAGACAGTTACAGAGAGACCCTGAGTCAGAGAAAAACAGATACAGAGAGGCAAGGCTAGCAAGAGTGCGAAAGAGCAATGCAAGGACGCAGAGGGTCCGGGAAATGATGGACACTCCTGGAATAACAGGCAGGAGAGGCTCATTAATTGGAGCTTTGGTGGTGTAGTGCCTAAGGCATTTGACGGCTAACCAGAAGGTTGGCAGTTCAAACCCACTAGCCATCCCTCAGAAGGAAGTTTGGGCAATCCACTTCCGTAAAGAATTATTGCCTCAGAAACCCAAACGGGATCGCTGTGAGTTGGAATCGACTTGATGGCAGTGAGTTTGGTTTGGTTTTTACCTTGGGCTTAAACCAGAGTGTACGTAGCATGAGATAATCATGTTCCCAGTGGATGACCCGAGGCCTTGTTTGTCTAGACAGAGATACAGGGGAGAGGTAGGGAGAGAGACTTGCAGCAGGTAGGGAAGGGCTTGGGAGGAGCATGCTGGCAGCATAGAAGCTGAAAGGGACTGAGACCAAGAGAGACAGAGAGCAAAGATGTTGACAGAAAGACACACAGGCAAAAGCAAGCCGGGGCAGAAAGGAATAAGGTAAGGCTGTATCAGGAGACTTAGAAGCAGAACTGCAGAGAGATGGGGACAGAGCACGCTAGAAAGAGACAAGTGGAAGAAGTAGTTCATTTCTTGCTGAACCATGTACTTTGCATCCAATCCAGAGTAGCAACTACCACCACCACCATCAGTTGCCACGGAGTCCATTCTGACTCAAGGCGGCCCCGTGGGTATCAGAGAACTGTGCTCCACAGGGGTTTGAGTGGCTGTGATCTTTCAGAAGTAGATTGCCAGCCCTTTCTTCCGAGACGTTCTCTGGGTGGGTGTGAACCGCCAACATTTCACTTAGGAATCGAGTGTGTTCACCATGTAGCCGCCCAGGGAGTCCTTCAGAGTAGCAAGAGCACCAGATAATACGTGCCAAGGAAGGCCCCAAGGACAGATAGAAACCAGCAGGATGGTGAGCCAGAGGGGCACGGCGTCAGCGCCTGGGACCCCAGGAAAGAGAAAGGCAGAGCCGCTGGCCCAAGAAGCTAAGACTCAGAGAGAACAGAGAGAAGGAGTGGGAAAAGGAAGCAGAGATGAGTTCGGAAAAGTGGAAGGTCAGCCAAAAAAGGGAAGGCCCTCAACGAGATGGATTGACACAGTGACTGCCAAGATGGGCTCAGGGACAGCAAGGCTTGTGAGGTGGCATAGCACCAGGCAGTGTTTCGTTCTGTTGTATACGGGGCCGCGATGAGTCAGAACCAACTCGACGGACCTATCGACAAGAGGCCCCTCACACAGACTCACTGGGTGACCTCAGGGAACTCCCTGGCTTCTCTGAGCCCCAGCCGCCCTCCTTGTGAAATGGCAAGAAGGCATGTGCCACCTGCCTGCAGAGAAGGTCCGAGATGGAAGGGCCTTGGGTGATGCGTCCCACACTGTGGCAATCTCAGCTTCCAGATAGATGAGCCCTTACCTGGTCCCGCTGCTCCGCTGCTTCGAGGCGTCCATTCATCTGCCCGCCCTCTGTTCCCTACGTCACCACCACCCAGGCTCTGGATCTGAAGCCGCAGCAGCGAGAGCAAGGAGTCAGGCCCCACCATCCAGGTCTGGCTTTAGGCTCTGCAGAGGAGAGGGACAGTGAATAGGCGAATTGAGGACAAACTTTGGGGCAGGGCTCACTGAGTAAATAGGAAAGATGAAACATAGCAGTCTCATTACTGCCCGGCCAGTCCATCTGGTCACACTCAGTCTGAGCTCAAAGCGCAGCACCCTGTTAGCACTTTTATTAACTCGAGATCCCAGAAACCACCTGCTGGGGCAAGCTTATCATCATCTCCATTTTGCAGATCAAGAAAATAAAGCACAGAGTGTTTAAGTGACTTAACCAAGATCACACAAAAAGCGAGAGCCAGGATTTCGGACTGGTTGTGGGTGCAAGGCACTATCACACACCTCCCGTCTTTTCTTTACTGATGTCCATTTTCCATTCTCCCACCATTACAAGCACATGTCAGCCCCCACTCCATCTGTCTTCCTCTCCCGGTCTCCCCCACTTTCTGGATTTTTTTTTTTTTTTACTGGTTCCCCATTCCCCCACCAACCAAAGTATCAGTGCGTTTCCTCTGCCCTCCAGTACCATGCATATCCCTCGCACCAACCCTCCCCGGCCAGTTGAAGCTCTTTGGCTGGGAGGCTGAGAGTGGTCAAGAAACGACCATCTGGGGGCGACGGGGAGCGGGGGAGGAAGGGGGACTGAAAAGATGAAAATACAGAATGTTACAGACTAGAAAAAACCACTGCCGTCAAGTCGGACCCCACTCATAGCGACCCCTCCGAGGGGTTTCCGAGGCGGTATCACTACCGAAGTAGATTGTCCAACCTTCCTTCCGAGCTGCGGCTGGTGGATTTGAACCACTAGCCTTCTGGTTAACAGACAAGTGCCTTAGGCACTAGCAAGTCGGGTTAGGCCTCAAGTAAGACTTCCTGACCTGCGGCCGCGCTTGAGGTGCAGCGCGAGATAGAGCGGAGCTGAGATATGTCAGGAAACATCCCAAACTTAGGGTCAGAGGTCTCCCAAGGCCGGAACTAGCTCCACCAGCCCCGCCTCCTCACCTCCAGTACTGGCCCGTTGAGTCCTCCAAGAGCCAGCGAGAAGCCGCCGGTGTTGGGCCAGAGCGTCACCGCGCGACGCGTCCTCCTAGCTCCGCGCAACATCTCTTTCGCTCCCAGAGCCTTTTCTTCCGGAAGAGTATCGAGAGGGTCTAGTGAGGGCCAGAGAGGCCTTCGACGTGCTGGCCCTTCCTTCTGCGACGTCGCGCTTGTTCCTCTTTGGTTGTTACTCCGTCCTATTCCGGACTGGCGCATTTAGACAATCGACCACAAAGAGGCTGGGTTGTGGTAGAGTGTCGCGTCGCGCTCATGTGGCGTCACGCGGCGCCACTTGCTCAAGGCTTTCCCCGCCCACGCCGTAGCTGTTCCTTCTTTCCGGACCTGGCTGAGCTGGAGGCGCCATCATGGTGAGCGCGTCTCCCGGCGTTCAGGACTCGGCTATCCGCCGCCATCTGCCGTGATCTCGGGTCGCGGGCCTGTTGGAGGGGGGCAGGGGTGCCAGGGATGTCTGAAGGAGGCGACTCCTGAGGCGAGGGAGGCGACTTTGGGGATCTGGGGACCTGGAATCGCTAAGGGTCACGTCAGCCTGCCGTCCCTACTGCATCCCTTTAATTAACGTACCCGTGAATAGCTGACCAGACTGATATACAGAGAGTCGAAGTCGCATGATTGAGGTCACGAGACCACGAAGTGGCGGAACTGGGATTCGGACCCAGGCGTTGCCCCGGGAAAACTGGCTGTATCCCGACCTGTCACTTAGACCAGAGTGGAATTGAGTTTTCTCAGGAGTTGAGCGCCAAGTGCCCAGGCTCTGGGACCGGGCAGGTTTCCGTTGGATCCTCGGCCCCCTGGCCCTTTTGTGATCTTGGGTAGGATCTTGCATTCTGGGCGTGTACCTCGGTTTCTCCATCCATTTAGCGGGGACACGGTCGTTCTTTCTGACGGGTTTGTGGGTTTTGGAAGCAGTAACTCATGGGAAGTGCGCATCGGCCGTGAAGCCAGTGCTGTTCCCACCTGAGGCTCTCTTCCCCATCGTTAGCACGATCTTGGAAGCCTCCGCGATCCAGAAAAGCGGGCAGAGGTTGGAGCGGAAGCTGTGGGCTTTCCTGGGCTCTGGACTGCGGATCGTAACAGCCGCTACCTCGTAGGATGGTTGGATTCAAGAACAGACCTTAAGAAAGGTCTAGTGTAGTTTGCTGCAGAGGAAGCTGTCAAAGTTCACGGTCGCTGTTACTGAGGGTCAGCTTTAGTTTTGAATGTTTTTGGTCACTTTCCAGGTTTCTCAGTGACAGTTTTAGGGATTTAAGTCATATAATGGTGATGGGAAATACAGCTTCTAAAGAGTTGATTGTTTTTTCACTGGGGCCATACAGCTCCTGTTGACTGTTGACAGTCTGTGCTGAAAGGGTCTGCAAGGAGCCCTGGTGGTGAGTGCAGTTTGCCGCCAAGTGCTGCAACTGCACTTGGCTGCAAACTGAGAGATCAGCATTTGAGCCTCTCAGCCACTCTGTGGAAGAGAAATGTGGCTGGCTGCTTCTGTAAAGATTGAGCGTCTTAGAAACCCAATGGGGCGGTTTTGCTGGGTCCTTCAGCGTTCCTAGGAGACAAAATCGACTGGGTGACATTGGGCTTGGTTAGCATTTAAAGGCTTTGCATGTAGATTTGTCCCCTTTTGTAAGTTGTCACCTGAGCCACAAAGGTTTTTAAGTGACTCAACAAGAGGTTTCCCATTGGAAGGAGTGGAGGTGGGATTTGAGGTGTCGTGTCCAGAGACCTGGGCCCTTGCTCCATCTTGGTTGCCAGGTGAGTGACCTGTCAGCCCAGAGTCGGAAGTATGGTCTCCCTTCACCCCCACAGGGAGTGGACATCCGCCACAACAAGGACCGAAAGGTTCGACGCAAGGAGCCCAAAAGC